ATTATCCGGCAGTTCAGATCAATTATATGCACCGATTGCCCCATGGACTGCAATATGTTCAAGTACTGATTATCACTGAACGTCACCGCCGAAGCAGAAGACTCCTCCCTATCGCGGCTCTCCCTCTGCAATGGCGAGGCGTGCCGAGAGGCCGAGCTCTTCCTCAACGCCGACACGAAGTTTCCATCTCCGCCGCCCGTCCTCCAACGCTTCGGGGAGGTGGAGTGGGACCTCTGCTTGCCCCTTTTATCAGCCGCTGCTGACGAGGACATGAAGTTGGAGATCTCCTTCTTCAGGTGAGCATGACCTAACTCCAACTCCTCAATCTTCTTCAGCAGCTCCTCGGCCGGCGGCGCTGCCGCCTCCGACGCAGACGGATGAGCTGATTCCGGTGCTCTGTTCTTCTCCATACTCAACAAAAATGGAATTTCAGAGAGAAAAAAATCGAGAAGATTCCCCCCAAAATGAAAAAACAGAAAAATCAAACTCTCATCTTCTCCTTCATCGCTTTCTGCATCTGTATTTGGGGAATTTGAACGACGGCCGGTTGAAGATGGCTGCTGAAAATGGTGTTAAACCCTCTCGAGAAGGAATTTTGTTATCGTAATCCGATGCTCTGAGCTATGCGCATGTGCTCAACTTTCTCTCTCTAAAAGAAAGGCATTTTCTTTATGAGAAGCTAGCTCATGGCCAATTTGCTTGTTTGCAGAATTGACCGCCAAATTGAACAACCGTCTCGCTGCTGGAGCGTGCGTTAAACGAGTCGTGATGGCCAGCTGTGAGTTGTAGAGGATAGATTCGTGGCGTCACGCGCGTTTGTTGAGGTTTTTTTTGTTCTCTTAAAGTACAAAAACAAGAAACAAGTAGCAACTAACTCCACCACCAATTCAATTTTGCTCCCCTTCAAGTTTCACCCATAGTACTTGATAAAAAAGGATAGAGGTATGTAAGTGTAACCAAAATTTTATTCATGTTTGTACCAAAAAAAAAAAAAAAATTATTCATGTTATAATCTTTTTTTTAAAAGATATTTAAATTGTACAATTGATAGTCATGCTACTTGCATAATGCATAATGAGTAATAAATATAATGCATAATGAGTAATAAATATTTTTACATCGAGTATCATCTATGAGATCCACAATTGTCAAACTTGCATTTATATGTACACACATTAAGTGGCTAGCCTCGGCTTAATTTGATGCATGATTCGAATTGAAGCTCATTTAATAGCTCGTCTAGTTAATGAGTTAAGTTTTATTTGGTTGGTTTAAGCTCATTAGACATGATAAATAAAAGTTTTTATATAATTTTTTAAGCTATTAGGTTAGCTTGGTTCGTTTGAGCTTGATAATTTTGATAAACGAATCAAACTCAAGCTCGTTTATTAGTTCGATTAGTTAAATAACTTGACTTGATAAAGGTTCGAGTCTAACCTCAATTATTAGAAGCTAGATCGATTGGTTAACAGCTCGACTCGATAAAGACTCAAGTTTAAGCTCGATTATTATTCAAAGCTTAAGTTCGAGCTTGACTCGACTAATAAATGTCATTAAACAAAAAAAATAAGCGTCACCAAACGCACGGAAAAAGTTAATACATCTTTTCAGCAAGTGAAAAATATTTTTTCCCAAACTAAATAAAAGGAAAGAAATATTTTTGTTTGGTCAAAGTGACGGTGACTGTGTCACAATCTTGCATGAACTTTAGCTTTTCTTTTTAATGATGAAAAATTGAGTCCTATTGAAAATGTTCGGTACATAATTATGATGGGTAGGAATTTTTGAGTTTTGATATCATTCCACTAAGAGCATGATAAGAACGTGAATAGTTACATGATCATGTAGAGGAGAGTTTTCCATTACTGCATTTATTAGCAAAAAGCCAAAAATGCAGGGATAACTTCTTGACTAAATTTTGTTTAATTAGGTTTGATTCATGCATTGTGGCTTCATCTATCCTGAACATTCTTAAGTTGTATTGTACTTTAGATTCCTACAAAGCGTTCCACTCTACTTGTAACAGTAATTGACTACGAATCATTAGGTTTTTTACTGGATCAATACATATACACATACTTATACGGGCGTGTGTTAATCTAGCAGTGAAAAAATTGATAACAATCACTAATATGGTGAAATTCACCCCGTAAGACATACAAGTTTTTAAAATAACACTATATAGTCTCTTTTTCGTGACTGAATAGTCCCTTACCTTACCCATGTCTCAAGTTGTCTCCCCAAGATGATTTTCGTGACCGACTGGTCGACTGTACGTGCACAAATTTGTCGAACATGAGTTTTTGGTAAGTGATGTCCTGGCTAACGCACGTTATGCCGATCACATGGCCCGAGATCGGCTTTTGTTGCATCATGGTTGGGTTGACCAGGACATAGACCAAGTCGTCTTTGCTGTCATCGTCGCTGTTGAAGAATGTGTTCAAGCGTAGTTCTACGTCCTTGTCTTCCTCCCCTGCATTAATTTTAGGTTTAGTGCAAAATTAGCTAGTAAAAAGTTACCTAAACGACTAAAAAAGCATTAAGTATTATTATTATTTCTTGAAATAGAATTTTCAGTTCAAAATTTTATATTCAGTTCAATTATATTTTTGTCACTTTTAAAATATCGGTTATAATGTGCATTTATCAAATACTATTTTACACTTTCTTTATCATTGTGCATTTAATATATTTTTTATTAATTATAGATTTGACTCATGTACTAAATTGATATTTAATAAAAACCTTAGAATTGCAATTAAGCCCCTTACACTTATCAAATTCTCAAATGTTTTCCCTACAAATCTTGAAACAGGTTATGTACAAGCTACATAAAAAATTTCATTCACCAGCAGTCGTCGTCGGTCGTCCACGACGCTTGTACTCCGACGACAACGGCAGCGAAGGACCTCACCCCTCCCGCGACCATCTCGAAGACGATCTGTAATTCAATTACAGGCAATGACGGACCTACATTGGGTCCAGGGGAGGCCATGGACCCCCCTCAATTTTTTTACAAAATCATTATATATATATATAGTTATATATATATATATATATAGTTATATACATAGTTATATAGAAATAAAAAATACTATAAACTATGAATAAAAATATAAAAAACATGTAGAATATATAAATAATTAAAATTTATTTTCAATGCTATTTTAATTTAAAATAATAATATTATATATTTAATAAAAAGTATACTAACAATCTTTATATTTTACATTTCTATATATATTTTTGAAAATGATATAATAATTTACTCTTCCGGCCTCTTAATTGTAAATCAATTTAATGATTTATAAAATCATAGAATTTAGTTGGACTGTTAGATTTTTGAATGTTGGTCGATTGGATATTGAATGCTGATTTTTTACTTTTTTTTATGTAATTACATATTTTCAGCTTTATTTATTTTTTTATTAATAAAATGATCATTTAATAAATTCTCATCAACAAAAAATGTTATGCAATGTGTTGCAAAATTTCAATGTAAATCAATTTTTGAACAAAAAAACTTATTTTTTTCCCATAAATTATAGATCTTAAACTTAAATTATAAATACACAGAACTCTTTTTTATTTTTTTTGCCTTAAAAAAAAGTTTGAGGGTGAGACAGATTCTAAGTTTTTAAAAATTTGATGGTACACTATATTTATAAGTAAACATAACTTTATATAAAATGCGCGTTTTTACTTAAACTATAAACTCGTTATTTAACATTTAAAATTGGACCCCCCTGAGTGAAAATCCTGGCTCCGTCACTGATTACAGGGTCTAGCAAGGGGGGCTTTCCGCCACAGCATTGCGCCAAAGCAGACCGCAAGTGACCGGCGTGAAGTGTTCGCAAATTATTTGTTGGAAAAAATTGTGAATGAAATATGTAACGTAGTGTAGAGTTATTTCTTTAACAAATGTTTTAATTGCTTAACATTTTGATAACAACAATTGTATTGATTTCTTCAAACTCAACTGAAAACTTTAATTGTAAAAATTGAATGAAAGAAAATGAACGTATGTCATTATTCTCTCTTTGAGGTGCATGTATAAATATGTGGCCTTGGGTTGGTTTCAAGGGTGTGTGAAAAAACACAAGAGAAGAAAAACACAATATTGTTAAAGGCCTTTTCCCCTATTTTTAAGTGTTTTGGTCCAGGCATAATTCCAGTTCGCCGAATTTGTTTCGGTTTTTCCATTGTATCCTGGGAAACAGACGCTCATACGGGGCGAATCTGTTTTAAGGACACTGTGTTCTCACAGGCCTCGGTATTTTTATTTTAGCCATCTTATTTTTATTTTCCCGATAAAGTTCCCTACAATCTTAAAACAGATTCGATTAAAGATGGCTGCTGAGCAAAATACTATTGGCGTTGCTAATACCGGTGGAGCTACTACAATTTCTATTTCTCCTTCTGTTAATGTTCCGGTAAATCATGCTGATAAACCGGAAAAATTTAATGGCTTGAATTTCAAGCGCTGGCAGCAAAAGATGTTGTTTTATCTTACTACGTTGAACCTTGCGAGGTTCTTGACGGAAAATCCTCCAAAGTTGGGGGAAAATCCGGATATTCAAGCTGTGAGTGCGCTTGATGCATGGAATCATTCAGATTTCTTGTGTAGAAATTATGTAATGAATTGCTTGGCCGATACGCTGTACAACGTGTACAGTTCTATCAAAACAGCGAAGGAGCTGTGGGAGTCTTTGGATAAAAAATACAAAACCGAAGACGCTGGAGCCAAGAAGTTTCTTGTAGGCCGGTTTCTGGACTACAAGATGGTTGACTCGAAGACTGTAATTAGTCAAGTGCAAGAGCTTCAAATAATCTTGCATGACATCCATTCCGAGGGAATGGTAGTGAATGAAACTTTCCAGGTGGCTGCCATAATTGCAAAGCTTCCACCGAGTTGGAAAGATTTTAAAAATTATTTATTACATAAGAAAAAAGAGATGACTGTTGAAGAGCTCGTTGTTAGACTTCGAATTGAAGAAGACAACAAGGGCTACGACAATAAATTGGTTAATCCTTCTTTTGCCAAGGTTAATGTTGTCGAGCACGGTGAAAGCTCACGTAAAAATAATAAGAAAAAATGTGGCAATACTGGCAAAGCAGTAATGGGGCCAAATAAACAAATTTTCAAGAAAAAATTTTCTGGAAATTGTTATAATTGTAATAAATCTGGCCATAAGGCATCTGATTGCAGGTTGCCAAAGAAAAATCAAGAAGCCCACATGGTGGAAAACCTGGCCAAAGATGTTGATGAGATGCACCTCGCAGCAGTTATATCCGAGGTAAATCTGGTGGGCTCAAATCCACATGAATGGTGGATTGACACGGGTGCTACCCGTCATGTTTGCTCAAACAAGGAACTGTTTAATGTCCTTGACGAGACGGTGGATGGAGAAAAGCTCTTCATGGGAAATTCTGCCACTTCTGACATCAAAGGAGTGGGAAAAGTGGTACTGAAGATGACATCTGCAAAAGAATTGACTCTTAATAATGTACTTTATGTACCAGAAATTCGTAAGAACTTAGTGTCTGGTTCTTTATTGATTAAACATGGTTTTCGTGTAGTGTTTGAATCTGATAAGGTCATTTTGACCAAAAATGGAGCATTTGTAGGGAAGGGTTATGAATGTAATGGGCTTTTTAAGCTCAATGTGATGACAATTAATAAAAATGTTAATCCTTCTGTTTATATGCTTGAGTCTTCCATTGTGTGGCATGGTAGACTGGGACATGTCAATTATAATACCCTGCGCAGGTTAATAAAATTGAAAAGCATACCTATGTTCCATATTGATTCAAAACATAAGTGTGAAACTTGTGTTGAAGCAAAATTGACACGATTACCATTTCAAACTATTGAAAGAAATAGTGAACCACTTGATTTAATTCACACTGATGTATGTGATTTAAAAGCTGTCACGACACGTGGTGGAAATAAATATTTCATTACTTTTGTAGATGATAGCACTAAATTTTGTTATGTGTATCTTCTCAAAAGTAAAGATGAAGCGATAGAGAAATTTATTCTCTATAAAAATGAAGTTGAAAATCAACTAAATAAAAAGATTAAGGTGATAAGAAGTGACAGAGGAGGTGAATATGAGTCACCTTTTGCTGAATTATGTGCCCAACATGGGATAAGACATGAAATGACAGCACCTTATTCACCGCAACAAAATGGGATTGCGGAAAGAAAAAATCGTACTTTAAAAGAAATGATGAACTCAATGTTGTTAAGTTCTGGACTTTCACAGAACATGTGGGGGGAAGCTGTATTGTCAGCAAATTACCTTTTAAATAAGGTTCCCCGTAAAAAGTTAGACAAAAGTCCATATGAATTATGGCATGGAAGACCACCATCCTACAAATACTTGCGAGTGTGGGGGTGTCTGGCAAAGGTAGCAATACCTACGCCAAAGAAAATAAAGATTGGACCAAATACGGTTGATTGCATATTTATTGGATATGCACACAACAGTAGTGCTTATCGTTTTCTTGTACATGAATCCAAAATTGAGGAAATTCACAAGAACACGATACTTGAATCTAGAAATGCTTCATTTTTTGAGCATATATTTCCACGTAAGTCTGAAGTGGATTCTAGTTCCACTAAAAGAAATTTGGAAATAATGGAAAAAGATCAAGATGGATATACTGAGGTAGAACCTCGGAAAAGCAAAAGAGGCAGGATAGAAAAATCTTTTGGTCCAGATTTTCTAACCTATATGGTTGAAAGCGAACCACAAACGTTTTCAGAAGCAGTAAATTCTTCTGAAGGACCTCTTTGGAAAGAGGCAATCCAAAATGAAATTGATTCCATTTTGCAAAATCACACATGGGAGCTAGTGGATCTTCCTCCTGGAAGTAAACCATTGGGTTATAGGTGGATTTTCAAAAGGAAAATGAAACCCGATGGAACAATTGATAAGTATAAGGCTAGACTTGTAATTAAAGGTTATAAGCAAAAGGAAGGCCTTGATTACTTTGATACATATTCTCCAGTAACGAGGATAACATCCATCAGGGTGATTATTGCAATTGCAGCTTTACGAAATCTTGAAATACATCAAATGGATGTAAAAACGGCTTTTCTAAATGGAGATTTAGAAGAAGAAATTTATATGGAGCAACCTGAAGGGTTCTCTGCTCCCGGGCAAGAGAATAAAGTTTGCAAACTGGTTAAGTCTTTGTATGGATTAAAACAAGCTCCGAAACAATGGCATGAAAAATTTGATAATGTCATGGTTCAAAGTGGATTTAAAATTAATGAATGTGATAAATGTATTTATGTTAAAGACACAGAAAAGGGTTATGTAATCCTATGTCTTTACGTAGATGACATACTTATTGTTGGAAGCAATGATAAAATTATTAAATCCACAAAAGATATGTTAAATTCAAGATTTGCAATGAAAGATATGGGTCTAGCTGATGTGATTCTTGGAATTAAAATTCATAGAACATCACAAGGAATTGTTCTGAGTCAGACACATTATGTGGAGAAAATCCTTGAAAAATTTAACAAGGATGATTCGACTCAGGCTAGGACCCCGATAGATACAAGTCAACATCTGTCGAAAAATAAAGGAGAAAGTATTTCTCAAGTCGAATACTCAAGGGTAATAGGGAGTCTGATGTATCTAATGAATTGTACTAGACCAGACATCGCCTTTGCCGTAAGTAAACTGAGTAGATATACAAGTAATCCAGGAGATGAACACTGGAAAGGAATTGTTAGATTACTCAGATACTTGAGATATACTTGTAAATATGGTCTGCACTATTGTAAATATCCAGCTGTAATTGAAGGCTATAGTGATGCCAACTGGATATCGGATATGAAAGATTCTAAATCCACTAGTGGATATATATTCACTTTAGGAGGTGCAGCTATATCATGGAAATCTTCTAAACAGACTGTTATTGCAAGATCCACAATGGAATCTGAATTTATAGCATTGGACAAAAGTGGAGAAGAAGCGGAGTGGCTTCGCCATTTCTTAGAAGATATTCCGAGATGGTCAAAGCCCGTGCCAGCTATTTGTATACATTGTGATAGTCAATCAGCTATTGGCAGGGCTCAAAGTAATATGTATAATGGTAAGTCTAGACATATACGTCGAAGACATAATACCATTAGACAACTACTCTCAACTGGTACTATATCTATTGACTATGTTAAGTCAAAAGATAATCTTGCGGATCCGCTAACCAAAGGGTTAAATAGAGAGTTAGTTGCTAAATCTTTGAGAGGAATGGGACTTAAGCCTCTAGAAATGAGTTGATACAATGGAAACCCTACCTTGTTGACTGGAGATCCCAAGATCTTGGTTCAAAGGGACAACCTAATTGTAAAAAGACTCTAGTGATCACTGTGGGATATTATCCCATGTCCATTCCTTAAACAGTGATACCCGTGGTGAGTAGGATAAGCATTTGGCTTTTAATGATTCGTGCATGGGAAGGTAGTACGGGCTACTTGTAATTAAGAATCACCTATGTGAGAGAGAAGTGGGGCCGCTTCGAAGAGAATTGTGTGAGGCTCAATTCTTAGACCCTCTTACAGAACCAGGCTATGTCCAAGGCCAGTAATGGACATAAAAATGAGAACTGGAATATGTTAGGGAGAATCCTGTGTGAAGTATATTTATCATTTACACAAAAGGCAGAACAGTTCAAAGACATCGAGTCTACTGGTCAGCTAGTAAAGTTAATATGCTTTCACAAGGGAAGGTTCAAAGGGTAATACCTACCTATCCTATGCAGATTTCAACTGTCGGACCATAACATTATTTTTAAATTTCATTCATGTGGGGGATTGTTGGAAAAAATTGTGAATGAAATATGTAACGTAGTGTAGAGTTATTTCTTTAACAAATGTTTTAATTGCTTAACATTTTGATAACAACAATTGTATTGATTTCTTCAAACTCAACTGAAAACTTTAATTGTAAAAATTGAATGAAAGAAAATGAACGTATGTCATTATTCTCTCTTTGAGGTGCATGTATAAATATGTGGCCTTGGGTTGGTTTCAAGGGTGTGTGAAAAAACACAAGAGAAGAAAAACACAATATTGTTAAAGGCCTTTTCCCCTATTTTTAAGTGTTTTGGTCCAGGCATAATTCCAGTTCGCCGAATTTGTTTCGGTTTTTCCATTGTATCCTGGGAAACAGACGCTCATACGGGGCGAATCTGTTTTAAGGACACTGTGTTCTCACAGGCCTCGGTATTTTTATTTTAGCCATCTTATTTTTATTTTCCCGATAAAGTTCCCTACATTATTTTCGCTATATCAGCAAGTGTACGGAGTAGCTATAGGTAGTGACGAGCAAGGTCGTATTCCACAGAGATTGTAGTTAAATTAATTACTAAAATAGTGATGATTAAATATTATCTAGACTAATGAATTAGATGATGAGTAATAACTAATAAATTAAACTAAAATAAAAAGAGGTATGCTTTCCTCGGAATTAACGACCCGTCAGAATGGCACGTCTCGTGTCTCAGGTTCACACGACCCGTGTTGACTTGGGACAGCTGAAACAGCCTCAAATCGTTGTTTTCAGCGTCTATAAATGCTCTTGATCGAATTTCTGGCATCTCATGTGATCATAAGACGTCCAGGTCGTCGGCTATGCGAGTTCCGGCCACGCAAGTTCTTCTCCGGCGAAGTGGCTGCAGCTGCAGCTCCTTCCGTTTTCTATGAGTTAAAAGCATCTCTATATGGTCTTTTCAGACCTTCTATCGGAGTTGGACGTCGAGCATGGCGTTTCCCGGTGGATTCCGGCAGCATAGCTGCATCATGGCGGACATAACCTGCAGCTTCTTCTCCTCGGCGACGGGATGACGGCAGCAGGCGGCGATGTGGTCAGGACGTCGGAAATGTGGTTCTCTGGTGGCTGGTCAGCGGCGTGGTGATAGCTGTCGAGCAGCTCAAGGCTCAATAATGGCGGACGACCTCTGTACATACGAATGAAGGAGAAGCAACAAACATAATTCTCCAGGAAATTACCATCCTAACCCCTTTTAAATGGACTTTGGGCCAGCCCATTTCCTTTTGTGTATCATCTTGGGCCACAGCACATTGGGCTAGCTCAAAGCAAATAAAGTTCACCTTGCACTAATTCACACATGCGGGCTTGATGTTGGGCTTATTTAAATGCACGACCACATCCCGTTTATATTCGTTTTATGCCGTTTTCGACTTCAAAATCAATTCGAATTTATTTTCTATCAAAACTCAAATAAAACATCTCATCATAGCTTAATAAAATTAATTAAATACATGATTAATTAAATAATAACTAATTATATATCAAACTATAATGAAACAGGCACGAAAATCACTATAAAATGCACGTAAATATGACGCATGTCATGAATCTTGGAGCTGTGGTTGATGGCGGACATCTCCGATGGCTACGACGGACGACAGAGGCAGTGCTGCTGGTGGGAGACATCTCCGGTGGCTGCGACGGACGACGGAGGCGGTGCTGCTGGTGGCGGTCATCTTTGGGGCCGACGGAGATCATCTCGGTGGCTAACAGCAAACGGGAATNCTATACCCTTAATGAGTGGTCAAATGCACATATTTGACCACTATATATTCAACTATTTACCATAATATCATTACATATTTGACTGACTTATTAAAATTTGATTTAATCATGACCACTGATTCGCTAGATCCAAAGACATACTACATTAATCATTTTTATTTATTTCACTATTCATCTTTCTCATATGATCCTAACTCTATACATATATGTAAAGTATAGGTCCTTTTACATGGTTTAAACTTTTTTTTTATTCAAAAAACAAAAAATAAAACTACGATGTTTAAAATAAAACCGTATTAAATCATTTATAAACTTGTTACAAAATAATGTTATATGAAAACAAGCCACATATCAACTACACAAAGAAAGTAAAAGTTATTATAATATGATAATAAAATCCGACTCTTGGTACCAAATTTAGCTCGCGACATTCTTCTCGTGCTTCACGGAATTTCTGTTCACAAAATTATTTGAAGTCGTGATTGGCTCAAAATACAGTCCAATGGATTCGACACACTTTTTATCAACAGTGCCGCACATCGGACAACACCAGTTTTCCATTCTCAGCATATTGGAACTGAATTGTATTGATTTCATCACCGTGACTTATAAATATCTGATCAATTTTATTCTTTCCCTTTTCATCCCAAAAGTTTCCATTTCTACGTCCGACAGGGCCTATCTTAATCATGATGCTATTATTTGAAGATATGAAAATATGGTATGGTTTGATATCATTTATACATATATTTACAAAGGAAATTGATGCAAAACATGAAGGCCAGAAGTCAGCAATCAATGTTTCCTATTGACAGCACATTTAAAAAAAAAAAAATAAACAAGAGTGATTGATCATCTCAAGGGTTGATGAAAAAAAAAATCAAGTTTCTCTGATCTTGACTTTGAACCATAATTAAACAGGATCGCTTCATGTAGTTAATTACAATAATTGTGCACATATATAACAAATATTGGATTCTACTCTATAGTAATACATATTATTGTGTGGAGCACTATAATTGTTAGATGAGTCGATTAATTGTACTGAGAATAAAATTCATATATATACTATAAGATGTCATCAATTTTTGAAACCCGCCCTAGCCGGACGGGTCGACTCGCCTCGAGTCTCATTTTGATCTCTTCATAATCTCCATTGAATGTGCAGTGCCTTTATCTATTCATTCTCCCCCTTTTAACTTTTAGTCTCTTCAATTTCTATAACAAAATATGGCAAATCTTCACTTTGGTATGAAAAAAGTTTCACTTTGTATTTGGCTTTTGACATCTTAAATTTAATTTGATCTGACAAATTGTAGTACATTTAATAAGTTTTCACATTGATCACATTTGAAACATTTTGTTAGACAAGGCAACACAAAACCTTTTTTAGCCACACAAAACCAACATTTCATATGGACTATTTTAGATGAGATATAAAAGAGTGTGGATATAAAATAATGAAATATAGACAAAATAAGTCATTTCATCCTTAATTTTCCTAAATGAAATTCAGATATTATTTGTAACACTTTTCAATAAGCTTTAACAACACAAATTTTTGCCAACTCAAGTCAGGCTTAGGTTTCAGATAGATTCCGATTGATTTGAAGCTGTATTGATCGGCGGTGCCGTAAAACCCACCAAATTGCTGATCTTCGCCAAGCTCGTAAATGAAATCTCCGAGACTCGAGCCCGAGATGGAGCCAAATGGGCCGTATCGGCCGCACTTCGTGCCGAATGTGATGGAGTATAAGGAGCTTTTTTCAGCAAGAATGCCCCCTCTAACGATTTTTAAAATTTTCCCTCTTTATATCTCCTATATATAATTTCAGAATCGCGTTTCGGAATCCTACTTGACGAAAAATCATGCTTCATAATTTGGTTTGGATAAAAAATAATGTTATTCTAAATAAATAATTTGAGGTTCGGACATTTCATAAATATTGAAAAACTAACTTGAGTAATTTCATAATACTTTAACTAATATAACCCCTAATTTATTTTGTAAACTTACTTACTGTTGTTTATATATAATATATCCCACTTTTCCAAATTGAATGTTGCGATTAAAATGATTAATATATCAAATTTTTATAGATTTATATTACATTTGTATATATAATATATCAAATTAATAATGTCTTGATGAACTTTGATTTGAATACATATAAAATATTAAAAAATTTTATTTATATTTATAACTAAAATTACATTATCTATTAATATTAATTTGAAAAAATATAATTATTTAAGTTAACTTAACTACAATGTTGTTATCTGATATAAATTAAAAAAATATAAAATATGAAGATTTTTTTCAAAATGAAATATTTTTTTTTATTTCTAATCTTAATGATCAATTGTGAATAAGTGTATATTTTATTTTACGTTATATACTCAATCCTCACTATTAGAAATTCTCATTATCAGCGTAATCACTTCAACGTCATCACTTTTTATTTTAAAAATTCTCAAACCATTTCAACGTGATCATCTTTTCTCATTATCAGCGTAATCACTTCAACGTCATCACTTTTTATTTTAAAAATTCTCAAACCATTTCAACGTGATCATCTTGAACCTTGTTTCCGTAAAGGTATAAAAATTGATCATTTTATTTTTTATAATTAGAACCTACTAGCTGGTATAAAAATAATGTGGGAAATATAAAGATATATAAATTATTTTTTAGTTGGAAAATAATTGTTAGATCCTGATAACTTTTTTTTAGTATATTTCCAAACGAACAAACACTCACTTATGTTTGTAAAAGCAGCTAAAATAATTATCTTTACACACATTCACATGATTTCAAATCTAACACACACTTATTTATATTGTTTGGAAGTTATAGGATGAAAGGTTAAAAAATAATATATATCTAGTAGCTTGCACACATTCACATCTGCATAATATCTAAAATATTATAAAAATATCTCCCATTTGTTTTGTACATAGAATTTTTTAGAATACTCGTTGCATGACTTTTACATGGGTTGAATTAATTTGAATTTTTAGTCGGTCATTAATTATAATAATTATTGTATTTGTAATAAAATAACTGACACATACATATATACTAGTATTCGTCCATGTGCATATGCACAAAGATAAATATAAATTTATATATTATATGTATATGTACAATATTTATAATTTTAAATTAGACAACGGATGTATTACATTTTCAAATTTTTTACTATATACAAATATACGATATAAATATAAATTATTTACCTTGTGTGTGAATCTTTATATTGAGACAATGTAATTTTGTAATTTAGAGGTACATACAATTAATTAGTTAGGAAAGCATTATAATTATTTTTATTATTGTTATAACAATAATTTATATAATTTTAAGGAGCTTAATTATGACACTCATATCAATTAGCTAATAAAAGAGAAAAATCACTTGATAAAACGAAAAAATAATATTTATTGTAGAATAAGTTTTTTAAAAAAAATTGCAATACAATTTTTTATAAGTATGTATTTCACATACTATTTAATGTATTTATATAATTAGTTAATATTAGTAGTAATTATTATATAGTAAATTAGTTTAAATTATTATTACAGTTTATTAATAAATAATGTAAATGTTCCACATTAATTGAAAAAAAGAGCGAGAAAACTATAGATATTTTATTTATTGCTCTGCTAGCAATTATATATATATATATATATACATATATATATATATATAATTATGATGAATTTCGGTGAAAAAGATGTCATATATAATTATGATGAATTTCGGTGAAAAAGATGTCATATATATATATATATATAATTATATANNNNACGTTGTCAGGATCGGCCCGGACCGCCTGTGTCGACCCGGGCCCAGCTCGGAACCGGCCCATATGTACAAGTCCTTGAACCGGACCTGACCGGGTCTTGTTATTTCTTTTAAAACCTGCTGATTCCAGACCGGTTTCAGGTCAGAAGACAGGTCCGGAATTTTGGCATTGTTTATTATTTTGTTTATTAAAAAATCGACTATCCAATGAATCTCCAGGTCGGGCCGATTCAATGAACCGACCCTTACATATAGCCGGGCCAGTTCTAGGTCCATGTTTTGAGGCCCGGCATACGTGAACCGGCCTGGCATTTGAACACGCCCGATAATTGTGTTTTGAATCAAAACAGATATCCCTGACTAGCTGCTTTATCTTTGTTTGATCTTCGTCGTTGCTCGATATTAAAGTTTGATTCGTTTGAGTTCTCGTAGTTGATAACTAAAACCAAATCTTCGAAATAGAGTGTTTAGGACTTTAATTTTCTTTTTTTTTTGTGATTGAATATACGTGCTTAATAATCCGGCCAACGTTTCTCGAGAGATTGACCTGTGGAACAAATCTTTTGATTCGGTACTCGATAAATTTCATAATTTGCTACAACAACTGACTTGATCGTCTGAAAGCTAACGCCGAGAGAATCTTCAATCCCATTTTGTAGGTTAACAGCTCCGTTGTGAATCACTTTCGTGTTGTGTTTTCTGGACCTTGGGTCGTTTTAGGACTTAGTATAGCCTTTGGGTCATTTGTCATACCAACGTTTGGGTCTTACTAGCTTTTGGGCCATAACATGGGTCATTTGCAAATCTCGTTCAATGGGTCGCTGTTTATGGGTCGTCCATGCTCGGTCGTTTGATGGCCCAGGTAGTAGTCTCCGGTCATTTGATGGTCCGAGCTCCCTCGACTTAGGGTCGTGGCAGGTCATTTTCAGGTTCTATAGCTTAAGCAAAATGGGTCTCATCACACGGTTAAACAGAGACCCAATATTGACTAGATTGGGCGGTTATTTGTATCACTTGAGTAAAGCAGCGATATGGGTCGAGTTAGACATGGTTCACAGATTCCCGACGGGTAGATCAAACAATTTAGGTTGGTTGTATTCGTATCTTTATCAATGCATCATAATTTTATTTTATTGCTTTAAGAGTTTCAAATTTTCATTTTACAAGTATGCACGATATGAGAAAAGTAATAAAATTATGTAAATTCAAAATTCAACGCGCTAATTATTAAAAAAAAAAAAGGAAAAAAAAGGAAAAAGGCCAATAGTCCCATTATTGATTTTGGATATCAATTAATTGGGCAAATTACATAAACTGTTTGATATGGATAATATGATACCAATAAATAAAACCCGACTCTCAGGTACCAAATCTAGCTCGCGACCATATACTAGACCCTGAAGCGATTTTTCTTCACCAGATTGTTTGAAATTGTGATTGGCGGCCCAAAAAACACTCCGACGGATTGGACACCCTTTTCAATTGTGAGGGGCTCAAAATACACTCCGATGGATTGGACACCATTTTCATCAGCAGTGCCGTGAAATCCACTGAATTGGCGGTCGTTACCTAGCCGGAAAGTAAATTCCTTGTCGTTGTCATTGGACTTACCAAACGGGCCGTACTCACCATGATTTGTTCCAAATGTGATTGAACATAAATAGTCGTCGTAGTTAGTAGAGATCAGCCGACCTCTAACCCAAGTTATATACTCATTTGGGTAGTCTAGTTTCACCTATTTCGCCAAAAAGTTACAATCAAAATTTATTACATGTATCTATTTAATAGTAGTATTTTGCAAATAAGCTCTAATAAGGCTTTTTTTTTTCATTTATTTATTTATTTCAACCACGTATATCATATATCATCTGTATATGTGTGTATTTACACATTTTTCAAAACCTATATTATCCTCAATTTATAAAAAAATAGGCATGGCAACCCGAACGGGTCAGATTTACAAGCCCAGTGGACGCATTCTTCGGCTTTGGAGCCCAAATCAAACACAATTGTAATTTGTATATTACAAAAGTTTGGAAACAGTTCTGCCGTTTTAGGAAAAAAAAAGTTTGGAAACGATTTTATTTTACTGATTTTATGTTACTGAATTTTAGAAACAGAAAACCAAACAAACACAATAACTTACCACATCAAAATTGCATCCATTGTAGTTACCATGCACATCGGACAGTACCACTTTTCCATCCTCATCAGCATATTTGAACTGAATTGAATTAATTTTTTTATCGTGACATATAAATATCTGAACAATTTTATTGTTCCCCTTTTCATCCCATGATTTTGCAGTTATACGTCCCACAGGGCCTATCTTAATCATGATGCTATGATTTGAAAATATGAAAATATAGTATGGTTTGATATCATTTATACTACAATTTATCTACAAAGGAAATTGGTGTAAAACATGAAGGCCAAAAGTCGGCAATTAATGTCACATTTACAAATAATTAAACAAGAGTGATCAATCATCTCAAGGGTTGATGGCAAAAGGAAAAAGAAAAAACAGAACTGTTCAAGTTTCATCTGATCTTGACTTTGAACCATAATTAAACAGGTTCGCTTCATGTAGTTAATTACAATAATTGTGCACATATATCATAAAACTTGGATTCTACTTAGAAGTAAATGTAGACATTAAAACTGTCAAATTTTGATAATCGGAGCATGAGGGGTGAGATCCCACACATGTGAAGCGCACTATAAGAGGGTGAGTTTAAGTGCACAATAATAAGATTCCATCCCAAAACTAATTGGTTTAAATCATTGCAGGGACGGAGCTATAGGGGGCCCATCGGGGGCACTGGGCCCCCTTGAAATTTTTAAAAAATTCAAGGGTATTTTTATAATTTCATAATAATATTAAAAAAAATATACATATGAGTAAAAGCGGATGGAAATTAATTTTTGAATTGTATGTTTTATATCGAGATTTGTGTTTGAATTGTATGTTTTAAGGTGGAGATTAATTTTTGGGGATCATTATCCCTAATTTTGTTCCAAAGAATTTGTTGTTAATTGTCACTTGGTTGTAAAAGTATTTTGTATGAGAACTCAAAAGATGAAGTTGATATAAGGAAAGAATTGAACTGTTATCATTATGCTCATGTTGTATTGTTGTGAGTTAATTAAGAAAACACCAAATGAATCATGAATCATGATAAAGAAATGTACTTGGGGAGATTTTCGGGTTTACTTGGTAGCAAAAGATGAAGTTACAACTTACAACTAAAGAAAAATGATCATTTTATTATGTTGTAAGTTTGGCAAAACCACATTAATTACAACTAAAGATTGTGTACTTTGGGCGATTAGTTATGTTGTAAGTTTGGCGATTTTTTATCTAATATTAATCTTGGAGTTTATGAGTAATTTTTTGGCTATATAAGTTTTTTTGTGTTGAATTATTTGCTTTGTATATTCGGATTGCTAATTCATTGCAAGTTATTTTCTTGACTTGAGTACTCGGTTATATGTACTATGTTTATTTAGTCGGTGCTTGTCTATTTAGTCGGAGCTGACCTAGTTCCGTCACTGAATCATTGCAGGTCTCAAATTAGGCCAGCTCTGAGACCATGTAAAAAACAGGAGATACATGTGCGGTCCCACACGCACGTGAAACGCACAATGACAGGGTGAACTCAGATGAAACCGAACTTACAAGGGATATTCTAACAAAAACTTTACACACATTGTATGCATTTAACATATAAACTTCTCGAGTCTCATTTGGATCTCTTCATAATCTCCATTGTCTGGATTTAGTCTCTTGAATTTCTATAACAAAATATGGTAAAGGTAAATCTTCATTTTGGTATGAAAAAGTTTCATTTTGTGTTTCGCTTTTGATATCTTACAATAAATTTAATCTGATAAATTTTAGTACCTTTAATAAGTTTTCACATTCATCACATTTGAAAAATTATATTAAACAAGGCAACACAAAACCTTTTATAGCCAAACAAATCCAACATTTCATAAAGTATTACATAGTTTGACCGTAAAATTTCGCTTTAAATACGAAATATATGCGAGCATTGAGGAGGAAAATCAGAAGGTTTTTAGATCAGATTTCTTAGATAAGTTGGATAAACTATTTTAGATGAGATGTAAAAGAGTGTGGAGATAAAATATGGAAATATAGACAGAATAAGTCATTACTAAGGGGTGATTGGATATAAGTTATTTTGAATTTGATTACATTGTTAGATAACCAGAGTTAATTGTGAAAGAAGTTTATTGGGTTAGATTTTAGTGTGATTTTGGGTTGTATTAAAATAATATTTAAAATGTTATGATTGAAGTTGATTTTATGTAAAAGTATGAGTGAGGTGATTGTAAGTGATGTGTAGTTATAATTATGCGAATTGATGAATAGTGAATTAAAGTTGATGTGATATGCGAGGTTGATTGATTGATATTATCTAATTATATTGATAATATTGAAGAGAGTTGAGTTTAGTTGAATTTTAGTTAGATTTTGAGTTAAAATATTATCTGATCAAAATTGACCAGATAATTTATAACCAATCATAAATTTAGCATGTTTGGATACAAATTTTTTCAAAAAAATCTAAACATTTTTAACTCAACCACTTTTTTTAACTCAACTTTAACTCAACCCCACTATCATCAATATTATCAATATAGTTAAATAATATCAATTAATCATTCTTACACACCACCTTACCTTAATTCACTATTCATCCACTCACATAATTTTAACTAACCATCACTTCAAATTTTCTTTCTCCTACTTATATCAAATCAACTTTAATCATTTTATTTAAAATATTATTTAATATACCCACTAACAACTAACCATACCAACCTTTTCAAAATTAACCAAACCAAACAAAAAAATCCAAACAAAACCAAAATTTTTTATATCCAATCATTTAATTTCTTCCTTAATTTTCCTCAATGAAATTCAAATACTATTTGTAACACTTTTCAATAACTTTAACAACACAAATTTTTGCTAACTTAAGTCAGGCTCAGTTTCAGATAGATTCCGATTGATTTGATGCTGTATTGATCGGCAGTGCCGTAAAACCCACCAAACTGTTGATCTTCACCAAGCTCGTAAATGAAATCTCCGAGACTCGAGCCCGAGATGGAGCCAAACGGGCCGTATTGGCCGCGGTTCGTGCCGAATGTGATGGAGTATAAGGTATTGCTGTCCTTATTACCACTAATCCAAGTTATATACTCTGCAGGGTAACTCAATTTCACCTGCATATATATAATTTTGCATTTGAGAAGATTAATTATTATATATACTCCTTCCAATATCATTCTAATTCTAATTGTGACATTTTTTAAATGAGTTTGTATCACTATATTTGTCACTTTTGCAAAATCAAGACCAATTTGTTGTTTTACTGAATCATTATTGAGTCCATCAGCGTATATCAATTTAAAATATTTTTTTAATCCCGATGTCATATAATTGGGGAGTTAATGATGTTTCATAGAGAATTTGAATCTATAATTAAAATTCAGGAACTTAATGATATATTTTCTTAATATATGTAAGAAGACATTAAGAGGGAGTACTTATTGAAGGAGAAAAAAATGCCTACAATATTATAAAAAAACAAACCTAAAAATAACAAAACTATAGGTGTGGCAGAGCTACGATATTATATAGCTCAAGTGATATCACCGACTCTTAATTAGGCTGCAAACGAGTCAAGTTGAGTTGTAGTAGCCTTAATGAGATGGAATCGGACTTTTTTTATTCATTGTTGTTCGAGTGAAACGGCACGAGATTTTCAAGGCTCAACTTGAATCGGGTTAAAAGTATTTTAAACTTGAAATTTCAACAAAAAGATATCTATTCAAATAAGAATTCTTGCAAACTTGGCTTGAATTTTAGCTCGATTCAACTCAAATATAACTCGAGTTAGAGGTATTTAGGTAAATTATACTTTTCGAACAATCGAGTCTACAAAGTATCAACTCATATTCACGTTCGAGGTGTTCGAGCTCGGCCAAACTCGAGCTCGGCCAAACTCGAGCTCGTGCAAACAGTTCAATTTGTTTGCAGTCCTACCCTTACTAACATATTGTATTAGTTTGATACAAAATTCAATCAATTCTAAAACATATATATTTGGGCACGTGCCTATCGTAAAACACAACGAGACATTGAAATAATAATTAAAAAAAAAAGTAAAAAAAATAAAACTCACAACATGGAATTTTGGACCGGAATTGTAGATGTCGCCGTGCCTAGCGGACATTGCCCAGCCGGAAAAGTCAACGGCGTAACGGAACTGAATCGAGTAGATACGTTGCCCGTGGGAAACAAAAATATGGGAAATTCCAGTATTGCCCCTCTCGTCCCACTCGATATCTCCATAGAATCTCCTCGCAGAACCTATTTTGATGTATGAATAAGAAACCATATTCTTTGGACAACAATGAGAATTAAATTAATGGTTGTTGAATTAAAAGTTAAAATTAGTTGATTTGTTCAACGGGTTAGTCCTAACGGACTATTGAACTACATTGTCCGAACTAATTAGAAGTCCAAACTTAAACGAGGATGTGAACTTAATCCTAACTCGAACGAGTTTTAGTAATTGAAGGATTATTTATAGAAGCTATAAATTATAAAAATTTAAATATATAGAGATGTTGAACTTACAATCCTGACGGTTTAGGATGGCTCTCGTAGACTTTCGGGCTAAACGAAATATGTATGTCGTGCTGGCAATATGTTGACCTAACTATAGGGCTTCGGACTACTAACGAGTAATTTATTTTCTAAAGTTACAAATACAAATTAAAATTCCTGAATTTAAACGTGATTAACATCTAAGTTTAGGTATATTTATATAATTTTAGTCGAGTTGCATTAACGAAACAATAACCTCAAAATTTTATAAAGATTGACATAGAGTAAATGTTTCTCATTATATAAAAAAAAGGGAGTAGAAGCAAAGTACCAAAATTTAATATGAAAATTACAATATTGATTTGAAACTAAATGGGTAAATTACAATAAACTATCTTGGAACCAAAACCAAAACCAAAACCAAATCAGACCATCACGACATCATCTTCCAGCTTCGCAGTATTTTCGTTGACCACATCATCTTCCAGCTTCGCAGTATTTTCGTTGACCAAATTACCTAAAGTCTTTATTGGATTACAATAAACACCAATGGACTGTACACTTTTTTCATCAGCGGTGCCATGAAATCCACCAAATTGGCGATCGTCACCTAGCCGGAAATCAAAAATCTTGTCGTAGTTTTCAACAAATTTTCCAAACGGGCCATATGCTGTCCGATTTGTTCCGAATGTGATTGAACGTATATTGTTGCCGTAGTAATTCAGGCGACCACTAACCCAAGTTATATACTCTGATGGGTAGTCAAATTTCACCTGATTCACCACAAATTTATAATCAGACATTAGATATAATCATATAACTATTTAAAACACATATGTTAAAATAGTACTTTTAGTGCTTTTAAAGTTGTTTTAAACACATTAATTTATATATATTTCCACGCTTTGCAAAACCAATTATATCTTTAGTTTTAGCTCAAGGTGTGTGCGTGTGTATTATTACTACATTTTGCAAAAATCTATCATTAGTTTTAGCACTAACGACTATATAAACATTTAAATCCAAATGTTTAATTCTGAATTTCAGCACTAACAACCGGTACCGGTTGTTGTTCTGGATGAAGGGTTTCATGACCCTTGGGCCGAATGGTGATAATTAATTAGTCTAATTAATTTATGTAACTGAAATTTAAAAAAAAAAAAAAAATTAAAATAAAATAAAAAATAATCAATCAATCAACTTACAGTATCAAATTTGTTTCCACTGATTTTACCATGCACGTCGGAAAGCACCAATTTTCCATTCTCAGCATATTGGAACTGAATTGAATTGATTTCATCATCGTGACATATAAATATCTGAACGATTTTAGTGTTCCCTTTTTCGTCCCATACATTTCCAAATGGACGTCCCACAGGGCCTATCTTAATCATGTTGCTGTGATTTTAAATTAAAACAAAAAATAAATATATATGATGTTATGGTATGGTTTGATATCATATCAAATATGCTATTCATACGTTTATTTATAGAGGAAACTGATGTAAAACGTGAAGTCTAAAAGTCAGCATATTGACTGCACATAAATTAAACAAGAGTGATACATCTCAAGGGGCTGATGGAAAAAAAACGGTTCAAATTTAATCTGTTCTTGACTTTGAACCATAATTAAACATGTTTGCTTCATGTAGTTAATTACAATAATTGTGCATGTATATCATAAATCTTGGAGCATGTTTGGATTTTTTTAAAAAAAAATTCAACATTTTAACTCAATAACTTTTTTTTAACTCAACTCCACTATCATCAAAATTATCAATATAATTAAATAATATTAATCAATCATTCATACGCACCATATCAACCTTAATTCACTATTCATCAACTCACATTATTTTAACTTATAACTATCACTTCAAATCTTTCTTTCCTACGTTTACATCAAATTAATTTTAATTATTTTATTTTAAATATTATTTTAATATACCCACTAACAACTAACCATGCTACATTTTTTTCAAAATTAACCAAACCAAATCAAAAAATCTAAACAAAACAAAAAAAATTTATAAACAAATAAATATATAAATTATTGTGTCGACGGCACAACTATTATTCATGTAGATCCGTTACTCGATAAATAAACATACATATTTACCAGTATTTGACTGCGCGTCGCAACGCGGTAAATTATAATTTATATTTTTCCTCGACTAACCTCTACTAACTAGTAGTAGTGGCAAATAAGGGTCGATCCCACGAGGAGTGTGAATCAAATCGTGAATTTTTCATATTAATTGAATTTGTAAAAAGCAATAAAAGAGGGAGGGTTTTGATATTTAATGACTAAACTAATTAAAATAAAACAAATAAAATAAAAATAAAAATTAAATAAATTAAGAGAAATATCTAGTTCACGGTTCCGTCTACACCCTCGACTGACTCGTCTAATCAATTAGTATCAAATCTTGTTATCTTAAGGAATTACTAGCCCTAGGCAACGACACAGTCTGCTACCTGAATTTTTTCTTAATTTTAATTTAACAGCGAGACGCTCTTCGATTAAACCTGACTTCTTGTACAGTCCAGAAAAATGTTTTCAAGATTTAATACAATTAGCCATTTTACGAATTAGAAAAATAAACTAGACTAAGTAGTGAACTCAACCGCGTTCGTTCACTTAAGTAGGTCGTGTTATCCCCGGTAGTTACCGTCTTCTGGTTGTCTCTCATGAATTAAACACAACAACAATTACGGATTGAAGGTATAATTCAACTATAGACATGAAAAGTCTAATCTAAGTATAAGACTCAACACATCATGGTTAATTATTCAAAATAACACAAACAATTCAAAAAAGACAACTAAATAATCAACCACGTAAATTAATCAAAACATAGTTAAGTCGTAAGGTTAAACTTTCCCGAAACTAGAAATAAAAATACTAGCCTAACATAATAAATAATAAAAGAAAAGGAATAAAATTATCTCCTTTCGCGTGTGGGTGTGGCCTCCCTCTGCAATTCGTCGGGCTCTTCTTGTCTGTGCGTCCCTTCTGTTCTCTATGTTCTGCGTGTTCTCCTTTTCTTTTTTTGACTTTGCATGGCGGCCTTGGGCTTCTTCTCCCGTATGTGTGTATATAAAAATCTCTTTCTTGATGAATTTACACCCTATACCTTCATATAATAATTATATTGCATATTTAACACCAGTTAGTTTTTTTTTTATGAAAATGCAACTTCAACACAAAATAATTGCACATATACCTAATGTTTAATTTTCGAAGTCAACATGTGAAATATGGAATGTTTTAATTAAGGTTTTTTCTCCTCAATTTTTGCAACAAAATCGCCAAGTTAATACTCTAATTAACAGAAGCCGTAATCAATTTTCCCTAGATCCAAAAATATGGTGTTCAAATCCGGCTCGTCTGCCAATTCCCTGCCGCGGGAGGACACCCATCTGCTGTCCGGCGCCGGAAAGCTCCACGCCTCTCGTCCCAGCCCAAGACCTTCACCAACGTCTTCATCTCCATCGTCAGCCCGACGTACTTGGCCTCCCGTACACTTTCATGCGCACCGGATGTCTGACCAGCCTCGTCGCCGCCCTCACCTACCACTGCATGATGCTCCTCATCCACACCCGTCGCAAGCTCGAGGACTCCGCCGCCTGCGCCTTCCCAAAGATCTCATCTTTCGGAGATCTAGGGTTGGCCGTGTGTGGGCCCATCGTCAGGTTCGTCGTCGATGCACTGATCGTCCTCTCTCAAGCCGAATTCTGCATCGGCATACCTTACCTTCATCGACAACACGCTCACCAGCCTTTTCAACTTCTCCTCCACCGCAAGCCCTACAATTTTAGGGTTCTCTGTAGAAAGCAGATACATCTGGAGCTGTTTCCCTTTTCGATTGGGCATATATGTATCTGTAGTATATATTTTGTATATATATGCATTATATTTTCAATATATGTTTTCACATATACAACCACGTGTATGTTTTTCAATGAATTGACTACTTTATGGTTATATTTAGTATACAATCAGTGTTTTTGATCAATTTATTGTTGTTTTGTTGATTATTATTTATGTTTGGTATATTAAGAGATTTTCCTTTGAATAGGATATTATTTGCAACATATACCGAATATATACTAACTATAAACTCAACATATAATGCTCATTTTAAGTTTATTTACTGGTACATATCATTCTACCATTGTGCTTGCAGTTAAGTAGAGTATGTCTAAAATTGTGTTTTGTGGTTGTTCATCTTTTAGTATATAGTTAGTATAATTCAAGTATATGTGGGATAAGTTTATTATGCGTTGAGTATTTTTTATGTATTCTAACAATGATATGTTTGTGTGGACTGTATGTTAGTAATATTTAAGTTTATTTACTGGTACATATATCATACTGTCATTGTGTTTGCAGTCAAGTAGAGTTTTGTCTAAAATTGTGTTTTGTGGTTGCTCATTACACGTGTAGTATATTTTCGGTATATTCAAGGCATATTGCAATGCTCAGTATATTTTGTAGTACAGCTTTCTAGTATATGCAAAGTTTATTTGCATGATATTTAAGTTAATTCTGCAACTATTTGTCATATCATTTGTTTTTTAATTGCAGGGCATATTTTTTAGTATAATTCAGGTATATTGGACAGCAAATGTTTAGTTCAATAATATTTATGTTTTTAATAATGAAAGTATTTTCAGACTTCTTTTTTGACAGTTATCAAATTAATATAAAAAAATAAAAATTGTTACACTTCCAATACAAAGAACACAGATAAATCATAAACCAGAGATTCTAGTAATTCAAGCCAACCGGGACACATATATTCATAAAATATACGTTAAATAACACTCGAGTTTCAATCGTTTCTCAAAATCGATTTTAGAACCCATATATACATTAAATATACTTAAGATATACACTTCGCCGGAAATGACTGTCACGGCGGAGGGAAAGCGGGCCGCAGAGGCTGAGGACGATGGCTCGCGGGTTCTGCTCGCGGCGGTCCTAATCTCCGGAGGAAGAGGCTGGTCGCAGCGTCTGGTACGTGACAAGGTTCGCCGGAAGCCGCAATTCACGCGTGAACAAGGGTCGCCGGAATTCTTTGCAAGATAGAGGCGGCGCTGGGCAGCGACTCACGGCGTGGGAGGAGAGCGGGTCGTGGCGTTGCTGGGGTCTCGTCGCAGAGGGCTCGCGACTGGTTCTGATCGAAATTTGCAGGTCCACGCGGAGGATACTCGCCGGAGGGAGGCTCGCAGCGTCAGATTTGCAGAGACTCGCGGCTTGCTGCTCGCTAACAGAGATGAGTTCACGGCGGAGGACTTGCGAGCAGGCGACGGTCGGGGGTACTGTGCGGCGGAGGGGCTCGCCGGCAATTGGTCTGCGCGTTCAGAGGATGGCGGAGAAGGAGATGACGAGATGATGGTGATGGTGTCGCGGCGCGTCTGGGTGGTCGCGGCTTGGAGATCGGCGACGACGGGAAAGATCAGAGGAAGGGATGATGATGATTGGTGGTGAGTTGAACAACGAGAGAAAAAGAGAGATGGTGGCGGGTTCTCTTTTTCGATCGAGATTGCCGGAAAACTGGCCGCTTTATTTCTTGCCGAGGAAGGTCACAGAATTTTGGGAACTTTTTGAGAAATTTTTTCGGGAGAGGAACGGCTTTGCTGCATGATTTGTTCCTATCAAATAGGAATGGAGATATGTAACCTATTTTTTAGGCACTAATGTAATTAATTATTGTCTATTAAGTATATACACAATTAATTATGTATGAATGGTAATTTTGCAATGTTTTAATAATCATGTAGGATAACTGAAAATTTTCCATATCTCTTTGGTGTGGCTCCTTTTAAAATCCCCCTTTGCTGGTGACGTAAATCCTCTTTTATTTCCAAGTTATCAAATTGGCAACTTGTGGGCCAAATTTAATTGTCTGGGCTTCAGCCCAACCCATGCCAATGTTGTATCCGTCTCTATACTCAGCTAATTTGAACTAAAAAAATTACAATATTCAAAATCTATTAATATATAAAGAGAGAATGATAGTTGTTTGAAAAAATCAGCAAAAAAAAAAAAAATCAATTCCCGCCTAAAGTTTACAGCAAGATTTTTGGCAAAAAATTGAACAAGCACGCCCACTGTGCATTTCGAATTTTTTTGAAGATTATTTTCATTGATTTTAGCAAGATATGGTGAGATTTTTTTGCCAAATATTTGTAGTTATCTTACTAAAAAAAATTGACCCAAAAATTAATAGAATCCTATCTATATGCCGAGATCGCCGCCGGCGATTGCCACGAGCTCTCAGTCCAGCGAAGCCACCATCTCCGACTATGTACATCAGGGACATGTCAAACGGGTGTCGGACCGAACGTGCTGGACATGGCCATGTCGATCCGGGTGATGGTCCGGGCGGACCGAACGTGCTGCACACACAGGTTGAAGAATTTCATTAGTGATGGCCATGTTAGGGACGGCTGGAGATGGAGGTGAAATGCTCGACTGAGCCCGACCAAGCTTCGGCTAGAAAGCTGTGCACGTTTGTTCGTGGCTGAGCTACCAAGTGCCGGATGGACATGGGTGTTCTGAGGGTAGATGTTGTTGCTGCTGACCGGAAGAGACGAAGAAGATGACGTGTTGGCCGGAGAAGACGACCGGAAGTTGCAGGAAGGCCGGAGAAGATGACCGACGCATTTGTGGCAAAATTTTTGGGCAGAACAATTGGGCGAGATTTTTCGGTGTGACGCGACCAAGTTGAAGTGGACTCCCGACGTTGATTGTGCGTGAATATTACACCGGACTGAGTGGGCTGGAACGAACGTGCTGGCCAAGACGGCTTGAACGGATAGACGCCGGAGGCGAGTTGCTGGCCGAAATTCTGTGCGGGCTGCTGGAGATGGATGAACTCACCATGACTGGTTGCCTCTTGCGCAAAGGGCTGAGTGAGAGTGGCGCCGAACATAAACGATTCACGCTGTTGACGGATTTTGGCCGGACATGGCTGAAGGAGGCTTGCGGGAGGGTGCCAGGTCAGAGGCGCGACTGCTGCTGCACGGAGAAGATGACTCTTTCCGGAGAAAAAAGCGTGACTCTGGTCCGGAAAAGGAGACGTGCGTGTTTCTGCCCAGAAACTTTTCCGACCGTGAAAGTCAGCAAATTTGTTGCAGACTGAGCTATTCTTTGGCAGAGACGTGCATGAACGGTTTTTCTGTTTGAGCGATAAGAATTTGTGTACGCGTGGGAGTTCTGGATAATAGGAAAGACATCTCCAACTTCCAATATTTTGTTTCCTTATTTATTTATTTATTTATTTTTATTTTTATTGTCATTATTCATTTAATATGACTAATATTTGTTTATGAGATTTACATACTAATTGTTTACTGTATATGATAATTAATTATTGTTATTGATAGCATAGATTATTATTTATGATAAATATATAATATGAATAATATTTATTTATGAGATGTGCATATTAATTATTTAATGTGTTTAGTAACTAATTTATTGCTATTGATAGCATAGATAATTAATTACGGTAATTATTCAAAATATTAAGATTTTTTTTTTCATTATTTTTTGTACATGAACAACATTACTTTTGGAAAATCTCCACCACGCAACAATTGGTTGTAGGAATTTATCAAACTACAACACACCTTTTTATACAATCGAAGAAACTTTTCAATTTTTTGTTTAAAATATCACACCATCAATTGGGTGTCTATATTTATGTAATTACAACACATTCTTAAGAATTTGGAAAGAATACAAATCTACATGGACGGTTTTATACAAATCTACATGGACGGTTTAAATTACCTTCTTCGAGTTTGAAAAATATCCAAATTTATATGGATGGTTTAAATTATTTTTGTCAGATAAAATTTTCATAAATCACATATATATGATTTTTTTTATGAGATAGGATAAATTCTAAATGACCTATTTGAATTTTTAGAAAAATTAAAACAAAATCACACAATTCATTGTGCACATCGGATAGCAATTATATAGATTTGATCAAGATTTTGTTTCACTAATATGTAGAACATATTAATGGCATTTTAACATTTATCCACAAATTTGAAAACCATTTATTAGAACTAGTACGTACCCCGTGCACCGCACGGGGACAGAGAGATATTAAATGAGTTATTTTCATACCCTTGTCCATTTAAGTCTAAAAAATAATAGGGTTATTATCTATTTTCTACCTCTTTTGATCAACGTTAAGTCTACAAAATAATAGGGTTATTATAAGTTTTTTTCCACATCTTTTAACCAACGTTGTTTTTTTAGCCAGAACATTAAATATGAGCATGTTAGGGCTAGCTTGTAAAATAATTAATATATTATCTCACTAAAATATTTATACTAATAAAAATTTAATTTTAGCATATAAATTTATCCCTTGATATAAGAGAAAGTAACAATTTTACTTATTGTTGTTCACTATATAATATTTAATTATTATTTTTTTTATATAATAAAAAGGAATACTGTTAAATAGTGTAGTATAATTGTTATAAAATTATATGAATTGTTTTTTTTACAATATGGATTTAGTATCTTTTTATGATTTGATAATATAACTATAATATATTCCAAATGATACAATCTGAAATCGGATTACAGAATTTCAATACATTAATAATAATATTTTTGCTAAAAAGATAAGAAGAACATTTCGATTTCAATCTACAAAAAGTTTAAAACGATTTTATGGGAATTTGTTGACTAAACGGATTTTATGGGATAAAACAAATAGATGATAAGAAGGAAATTTCAAATATATAAAAAATTAAAGCCGATTTTGTGGGATTTTTTTGCAGGAAAAACCGGTTGTATGGAAATAGTAATAGCATTAATTGAATCGCATAGCATTAATTTCAATATAAAATAATTAAATAAAATACATGCTGGAAATAGTAATAGCATTAATTGCAGTTGACTTTTCTGGATACTATTTGTAGTAAATAGAATCCCTTTTTATATAAGTATAGATTTTCAAAGTACACAATTCTTAATGGCATTTGAATATTTATCCACATATTCGAAAACCATTTATTAGAATTTTCAAAGTACACGATTCTTAATGGCATTTGAACACTTATCCACATAAATATTTTTGCAACCTTTAATTAGATTATAAATATTTTTAAAGTAAAATTTCATAACATTTATAAAAATAAATCACATCAAATATTTGTTTTGACATTATCACCTAACCTATTATCACAACTACTGTTTAATATATCTCAAAAATTATTTCCTGAACCAAAAATATATAAAAATATCTATATATCTATATATATAGATATAAATACTTTTATTTACTTGAAATATAGGCTAAAATCATGCCTAAATTTTTTAAAATTATTAAACTTGGCAATTTCTTTTGACAAAATTCGAAAAATCCCGGCCAATAGAGCTTTAATTTCGAATTTCAAAAATATTTTGATTTAATTTTAGGGTAATTTTAATTTATTAGGGAAACATATTTACCTATTAATTTCAATATAAATAAAGATCATCCGTTAATAAATGTCACAACCACAACATTCAATATCCATTCTAATTAATATCACTTAGCCGCAACATCCATATATAAAATTGAAAACAGATATTCTCATTAATTTTGATCCCAAATTTCTATCCCCAAGATTTTTGCTTTTCATTTTCAAAATCGTTATATTAAAAAAGTGAAAGTGATAATTAATAATGACGCTGAAATAAAAAATATACAATTTATGCTAGAGGCTTATACATTGGTGCAATGTAAATTTTATGCCTAACAAACCGATTTGATTCAACCAAAATTGTTATTGTGTTAAAAAAAACAATGTTCATTGCTACAAAAACTTGAAAATTTCGAGTTAGATTGATTTAGCTGGTATGACTATATTTTAAAGCTTGATAATTTTTTTGGTTGTTATTAATTCTTTTATATATGATATAATATTGATTTAATATTCACACTTCACATATATATAAATTACTAATTTACTATATTATTTAAATATGTTTATGAATCAAGCCAAACTATCCATCTATCTATAGATATAAAAGTTTGTATTTACTTAAATTATAAGATAACATCCCGCCTAAAAATTTTAACATTACTAAATTTGGTAATTTAGAAAAAAAAAATTCAAAAAATCCCTCTTCTAGAAATTAATTAATCATTTATAGTATAAAGTTGGAAAAATTAATAAATTCGGTTTGATATAAAGTGGCCGATTTCATTTCAGGTATTTGTTGGTCATTTTTTAGTTTTGGTAAGAAATGTGTTGTTATTAATAGATATTCAAATTTATGGTATAAAGTGGGTGATTTTATTTTTTATGAAATGTCTTAATTTAAATGGTATTAAATTTATTTAGTATGGATATAAGTGTATTTAGAAATTTTGAAAATAAGAAAAAAGGTGGTGTGAACTTTATTTGTTATGAGTATGAAAATCAAATTTTATCATAATCTCATAATAACTTGCCATAAGATATTTGTGG